ATTCAGTACATAAGGGAGGGTGGAAGTAAGCGAGGTAGGAGCTCAAATCGAAGGCAGAAGCCTCCGGTTTTCCAGCTTGGGTTCTTCCGGCGACCATGCAACAACGAGAGAGAACGGGTTCGGTGTAAGGGAGAGTGAAGGAGGGAAATAATGCATTAGATTGTAGGGAAAGGAACCTGATATAGGGAAGATTTCTTGAGATCACATTGTACAATTACATCAAACTTGAAAGATATGAAGTACTATATTGATATCATACTCTTACTTCACATATTTGCAATACATGGCTGAAAATGAATTGTACACATGCATAGAGTATATTACATGAGTATGAGAGGGACGGGATATAGCCTTAGTAGTTCATGCACCATATGATATAGGGAGATTCCTTTGTACAATTGAATCAATAGGAGGATATGTGTGTACTAGGATATATTGTCTATATATATCGCATGTGTGGAGAATGTGTGTGTAAGGAGGAATCAAATCGTGTGGAGGGAGAGGAGAGAAGGGAAGATTTACCAAGAATAAGTTAGTATATCACTCATAGATGCAAATCCTTGGAAGATTTATAAATCAAGAAATGGTACGTTGAGTATTTGAGGTTAGATTTTAAATTTAGCATTTCCACTTGTCTCCATGTGTGTATATATATTTCCTGGGGTAGTTTGAGTTGATATGCCACGGGGAAGATTCTATCAAGAATTTCAAAGGGTCTTGTATATCGTGGGTTTAGTTTTCCCCTTTTACCAAAACATATCATACCCTTCCATGGAGAGACCTTCAACATAACTTTATCCCGCACTTGAAATTCTAATGGCTTCCATCTTACATTTGCATAACTCTTCTGGCGATCACGGGCAACTTTGAGTATTTCTTTGATTTGGACTATATTTTCTGTAGTCTCATGTATTATTTTAGGTCCCGTGCATAGTGTGTCTCTCGCATGTTCCCTGGCCAAGTGAGTATCTCCAACTTCCGCCCAACACAATGGTGATCTACACTTTCACCCGTAAAGAGCCTCAAAAAGTGTAGCCTTTATACTAGTATGATAGTTGTTATTATAAGAGAGTTAAATAAGTGGAAAATGAGTATCCCAAGCACTGTCAAAATCAATCACACAAGACCTTAGCATATCCTCTAAAGTTTGGATCATTCGTTCACTTTTCCTGTCAGTTTGTTGATGGTAAGCAACGCTCATATCCATTTGGGTTCCCAAAGATTTTTGCAATGACTGCCAAAATCTCGATGTGAATCTACTGTCTCCGTCTAAGATGATAGAAGTGGGAACCCCATGAAGCCTGACAATTTCCTTGAGATAAGTTCTTGTCAACTTCTCCATTTTATCAGTCTCCTTGATTCGTAGGAAGTGGGCATACTTTGTCAATCTGTCGACCACTACCAAAATAGTGGCGTAACCACCAGATGTCTTAGATAGTTTCGTAATAAAATCCATTGTTATTTTCTCCCAATTCCACTCAATAATTTATGGTTGTTGGAGTAATCGTGATGGCTTCTGATGTTCCGTTTTTACCTTAGAACATGTTAAGCACTTACCCACATATGTGGAAATCCCGTCTTTCATGTTAGGCCACCAATACCACTTCTTCAAATCTGAATACATCTTGTCGGATCATGGGTGGATAGAGTACCTTGTTTTATGAACTTCGTCCATGACTAAGTTTCGTATGTCGCCAAACTTCGACATCCAAATTCTGCCCATGAGATGTCGAGTCCCATCATTCCTTAATTCAAGTTATCTCTCCATCCCTCTTAACGATTCTTCTACAAGGTTTTCTTCTTTCAGAGATTCAAGCTGAGCTAGTTGAATCTAGATGGAAAGATTTGAATGGATCATCATGGTTAGAGCTCGCACTCGACGAGGTTTTACATTTTCCTTACGACTCAATGCGTTCATGACAACGTTGGCCTTGCCTAGGTGGTACCGAATCTCGCATTCATAATAATTTAGTAACTCAATCCACCTTCATTGTCTCATATTGAATTCTTTTTGGTCAAAGATATGTTAAAGGCTCTTATGATCAGTGTGAATAATACACTTTGTGGCAAATAAATAATGTATCCATATCTTTAATGTGAAAACCTCTGCTCCCAACTCAAGATCATGAGTCGTGTAATTGTTTTCATGGGTCTTGAGCTGCCTTGAGGCGTAGGCGATTACTTTGTCTCTCTGCATTAATACACACCCCAGTCCTTGGATTGACACATCGCAATATATGATGAAATCCTCTGTTCCTTCGGGCAAAGATAAAATTGGAGCGCTGCACAACATTTGCTTCAACTTTTGGAATGCAGTTTCCTGCTTGTCTTCCCATTCAAATTTCTTATCTTTTTTGTGTCAGAGCAGTTAGAGCCTTTGCGATTCTTGAGAAATTTTCAATAAATCTCCGGTAGTAACCCTCAAGGCCTAGGAACTGGCGCACTTTAGTTGGCGTTTTTGGTGCCTCCTAATTCTTGACTGCTTCGATCTTTATGAGGTATACATGAATCCCTTTATTGCTCACCATGTACCCCAAAAAGTGTACTTGCTTGATCCAAAATTCGCACTTGGAGAATAGCGTACAACTTCTCTTTTCTCAACAGTTCTAAGATAAGCCGCAAGTGATGTCCATGTTCTTCCTTAGTTTGCGAGTAGATCAGAATATCATCAATAAATACTATCACAAACTTGTCCAAATATGGTTTGCAAACTCGGTTCATGAGATCCATAAGTACTGCTGGGGCATTGGTCAGTCTAAAAGGCATGACCAGGAACTCATAATGGCCGTACCAGGTCCTAAATGCATTCTTCAGAACATCTTCTTCTAATATCTTGAGCTGATGATGCCCCGATCTTAAATCTATTTTTATGTAGTAGCTAGATCCTTGAAGTTGGCCATTCGCTACTTCTACATCATATGCTACATCTAATTTGTTGGATTTTTGGTTCAATAATTGTTTAAATGTCGGTGTTATAAAACTCTTATCAGCCCCATAATCAAAATAAACGGTAGCATACAAGTTGTTGATAAGAAATGTACTGGTGACTACTGAGGGATCTTCAATCGCCTCCTTACTTCCAATAACAAACGCCTGTCCACAAGCCTTTCCACCAACACTTTTTAGTTTTGGGCATTCTCATTTGAAATGTCCCGGTACACAACATTCATAACAACTCCTATCACCATTTCCACTTTGTCTGGTATTCATCTGAGTGTTCTCTACAATTGGCACTATGCTTTAACAATAATTAGTCATATGTCCATACTTTTTGAATTTGGTGCAAAAATAACATTTGCCAGGGTGCGGTTTGAGACATTTGTTGCATTACGGGTATCAAGTAGTATTGTTTAACCGTGGAACTGGTGTTGGACTGGTTGTCATAGTTGTTGCATACACAGATCCAGTCCCTTGTTTCTTCCTTGATGTGTGCTTAAAGTCTCTACCTCCAGTCTTGTGCTTGTTGTTTTTAGGCTTGGGGGTTTCAATCTTAGTATTCCCTGTTCCCCGACTAAGTTCATTCTTAACCAAACAGCTTGCCAAATTCCTAACACTTTCATAAGTTGTTGACCAGGAACCGAACACTATTCCCCTTATTTGTGGCACCAGAACCTAAACATAACGCTTTATCTTTTTGTATTATGGGGTCACAAGAGTTGAACATAACAAAGCGAGGCCATTAAACCTGGTTGTGTAAGCCTTGATGTTAAGGACTTTCATTTTCAAATTCCATAATTCTTGCTCCAACGCTTGACTCTCATCTCTCGTACAATATTCTTCTTTTAACATCATTTTCAGTTCTTCCCACGTCAAGGAGTTTGCGGGAATTATGCCCAAAGTTTCTACTTGGTCATTCCACTAAGTGAGGGCTGAGTCCATAAACGTACTCACTGCAAATCAGACTTTTTCTGTCATTAGGACTAAAGCTTATTTGAAAGACAGATTCCATCTTTTCGATCCCTCTTGTAAGTCCGATAAGGCCCTCATTCCCATAGAAGTTCTTAGGTTTGCAGTTAGTGAAGTCTTTATAGCTACACACTCGTTGTGGTCTTCTAACATCTCCTCGAGAACGGCTACCTTGCCCGTTAATACTTCCACCATTACCAGCTCTAGAGGTGGCATTGCGAACAATTTCAGGTTTTGCTAGAGCAACCCCTAGTCGATCGGATATTAATTGTTCTAATCCTGTCGTGGTTGTAGGCAGACCTGCTTCCGGCGTGACGCGGGTTTCTGTTGGCCCTCATCGTACTCTCCTGGGTCACCCAATTGTTCTTTCTGGAACAGTCGATATGTTAGGGTGCAACCTGGTGTTTCTTCTTGTTAACATGATGGTTAACCTATTACATTTAGCAGTGGGACATAAGTCGGTTGCTTTATTGTACGTTAATTTCAATATTACACTATTTGATTTTTATGTATTACATTGTAACCCTAACATTAATCACGAAAATTCACAAAATAAAAAAAATTAAGCATTTGTTTAATATCAAAATAATACATAATAGGCTTCATTATATTTTACACAACACGATTACATCCATCAATATAATAATTTTTAAAGGTTTTTGGGAAATTACGAGTCTACCAACTATTACATAAATGGCCCAAAAGCCCAAAATTTGAAAGGAGTTACATCCACCTGCTATAAGATCTATTCCCAAAATCCTGATTATACAAAATATTACATGCCTAATCTTCCGTAGTTAATCCTAGGTGTTCTTTTACCATTGCATCCAACAAGCTATACTATACTCCCATCCGTCCTAGTTAATGCTTGACTCCTTCCACTCATCCAAATCGTAGGTAGGTATTGAATGCCCTTGTGATCTCAACAAGTTGCATCCCGATCACATCCAACCATCCATTAACGGCCACTATTTCCTCTTTACTGGCTCCTACCCTGATAAGGGTTTCCTAAGCTTAAAGATCAACTTCCATCATGTGGGTATCCCGTTGCATCCTGGCAATAATCACCGTGTCGAGTAATCCATGCATCTTCATCAATTATTCTGATGATGGGTCAGTTGGGTCTCCAATCTTCCTACTCTCCATGCTACGTGTGTAGTGTTGTTTTCGCCTTCATTGATTTCTCTTGACGCCTCCCTTTCTTGCTTTTCCAGTTTTAGAGTTCGATCAAATAATAGGGCCAAAGATCCACTATAATCACCGGGCGGAGGACACACTCCTGAGCTTTGCCCGTCCTCGTATCGGGTGGTGATTCTCCCACCAAATATCGTATCCTCAGTGAATGCAGTGATCCAATTAGGATCTCTCAAACTCCTCCTCATGCTCTCAGATAATCCATGTTGGTGCTTATAAATCCCTCTGTGGTTAGGAGTGGTTTTCCTGACTGTTTGGCGTGTTTTCCCTGCCTTTCTCAGGATGTCTCTGTAAGGGCTCAAAGGTGTCGGTCTGGGAGGGGGAACCACTTCATTCTCCATGGGCTCGCTATCTTTTGCGGTCTTGTCATCTTTATTAGGCTCAGTCTCCTCCGGTTCCGCTTCCATTTCCTCACCATGAGACGGTTCCTCCATGGGTTCTTCTTCCTCTGAGGAGTCCTCCGATACGCCCAGTTGATATCTTGTCTCTCGGTCGGGATAGTAGGCGTCTTCGACTAGAAGAGGGGCGAGCACGGGACTCCATCCTTGTTCCTCCAAGTACCCATCTACATATAAAAAAAATCTGTTAATAAAAAAAATTTAATCATATTTTCGTATACAAAAATACATTTGTTTAAATAAAAAAATACACATATTTTACCTTATGGCCATTAAATCTCAAAAATTTTAATGTATCAACTACTATACTTAAGTTAAACGGTGCATACGATCGGTCCATAATAAAACTTAGGTGTGCAAGGTAGGCTTAGTTGTGGCACAACATATATACTACAAAACTTTAGTTATGTTCTTGATCTAAAATTTTGAGTTTCAAGTTCTTTTTATCGATTTCTATGTGTTATGTGGTTTAATAGTATGACTTCCTTACTTTGTTTTGACACGTATTATTATCTAATGTTAACTTTTGTGTATTTATAGATTTAGAGGACTAAACCTTTATCAGAGAAGTCTTGCCCTAGGCTAGAGTTGTATGTATCAAGAGAAATACCAGTTCGATATAGTTAAGACTTTGATACCAATCTGTCACACCCCCACCTAACGGCGGAATCGTCAGGAGAGTGACTTAAATCGAATACCATAAACATAACATATATTAAACATTAAAGCATCCACTTAAAGTTTTTCACCACCTATATCGTACTTATATCTTACTTTATTACATGATTCACTACAAATCTTTATTGATGTGAAAAGAGGGCATAAAACATAATTTATAACCAAAACACAAGTTGATGATCCCATACTCATTGCGTGAATTTCCTGCTTAATTTCCCGAGAATACAGGTTAAAATACGTCAACAAATTTGTTAGTGAGATCTACAGGTTTTGACTACATATAAGAAAATATGTTTGTATGAAAAAAGGTGAGTGTATAAAAAAATGGAAATTTTTATATTTTACAAGACATCAAAATGACCATTTTTCTCCTTGAGAAATTTTATTTTGCTGCCGCATAATTCATATAAAAACTAGCAATTAACAAGATTTTTGATCCCCAATTTATCATATGTTAATCATTATTAATGATTATTATATTAGTTAGTTTGAAAACTAGCTGGAGATCAATAACATAAACTCATCTTACTTTCCTAAATTCTTAACCGAATCGTGGGGTAATTGATCTCTAAATGGATGTTGTTCCGATTTTCGTACAATATTGGGAGTTTTCGGGATTATACAATAACTTATAACCGGAATCATGACACCACACTTTTGCACTGGCTCCTTAATTATGCCTAAGCCATTCACTTCGTGATAACATGAGGTAATGTTCAATGGTACTAACGTCAATGCGAAAATCCGCCTCGTCAGACGTAGTTGTAGCTAGCAACTCCAGGCGGGCGGTCTAACAATATAAGTTCAATAACATAACGCTTATACTTGTTGTTAGTCGTTCTCTGCAGATTAACGGTTATAATCGTGAGGGTTTCCATCAGGAAACTTTGTGGTCTGGGATTTATCCTATAAAATGGTTCATCTTGGGATACCCAAATGTGGTAGGTTCTAACGGTGAACATAGGTATCCTATTCCTATAATATCTTGTTAGTAATTTACTAAGTTATTATAATTATTTGTCGTTTAGGAAAACGACATTCGGTAATATCAATAACTTCTGAAATTAATATACTTGTCGTATTTCAATATCGCATTAGTGTGGTGACTCATAATAAATTTTTTGTTCGAATTTATTTGAAACTCACGATTTCAGTATTATATAAATTTTTGTCAACGTATTAGTAAGGAATTTGTTTTTAGGTAAACGACTTTTCACACGATAATCATTGAGTTTTTATTTCTGACAACCTTTATACCGTTATGAATCAAGTTTTCATTAACAAATTCTAATCACGTATATACTTTGTGTTTTGACCCTTATTTTCTAATATTAGCGATTATACACATATTCTTTAATTATATAATGATGATGAAGTTCACGAGTTCTTAACAGTTACTAATCCATTGTTATTTAAGGGTTAAACCGACATTATATTTATATGAGTATATATTACATTCATTTACTAAACATGCAACTTACTAAACCAAGTCTATAAGTACATATATAAAACTGATTTTTAAGTTACAATCTAGACAATACTGGTTCCACTTATAACTAGTCAGACATAATCTTGTAGTTTTTCATCACAAATAACATTTACATTATTTCACAATGTAAGGTTTATAAAACTTGGTTTTTCTTATTCTCATACCATTGTTATAAAAGAAAAACTTTAGTTTCTAACTTAACTAACCTACATGTTTTTAAAGCTTATGACAAGTTTTAAAAGAAATACTTTATAACTTAATCATACTTCATAATTTATAAATTCACTTCCAGTTGACGAAAACCTTGAGTCACAAGTCTTGCTTTGTTTCTTATGACGATCCAATCTTCATCCATCTTGTTTCTGAATACCCAATGAGTTCCAATGATAGTTTTTCCTTGAGGCTTGGGAACAAGAGTCCATATACGGTGACGTTCAAACTCATTCAGCTCATTCTGCATAGCCTTGATCCAGTCAGCTTCTTTCAGGGCGTCAACAACATTCTTTGGTTCAATCATCGAGAAAAAATCACAAAACATACAGAAGTTGCTGCTGACTCTGCTACAAGTGAGAATCCAGAATTTACATATCCAATGATTTGAGATTCAGTATGATCTCAAATAATTCTAGGATTAGAACTTTCATTCATATTATTTGGAACATAATCTTCTAATTCTTCTACACTAATAATCCATCCTACTTCCCCAAAGGGTGATTTTAGTAAATAACCAAATATGATACTTGGGCTAAGCGTCAAGTCGATGATTTTTCTTATATCTCCTCCTCCCGGAGCCTACGTATCATGTACGCCCCCAAAATAAAGAGCCTTGAATACTACATCAAAAGCACCTATACCTAAAAAGATTAAGTGAATACCTAAAATTGTGGTCATTTTGTTTCTATCTTTCCATACATAACCGAAGAATGGAAAAGATTCTTCAAGCGTCTCAGGCCCTAAAAGTGCATGATAAATACCACCAAAGCCCAATACTATAGAGGAAATTAAATGAAGTACTCCGGATACAAAGTATGGAAAAGTATCTATAACTTCCCCACCAGGACCCACCCCCAACCTAGAGTACGATTAATCTGGCATGGGCTACATGAGCCCCTAGTAGTTTACCGGATAAATTGATAAGTCGGGCATTCCCGGCCCACCAAGCAAAATCGGTGGTTTCTTGGTCACGACCAGCTAAAGCTAAAGTTCCATTAAAGAGCATTTACATGGGGTAGAACCTCCCTAAGGAATATATGGTTTTCATGAGGTTGATCTTGAGCCGCCATCCAATCACGAATACTTTCGTTTAATAGAATACTTTTGGTGTAGAAAGTCTTAAATTAAGGATCTTCCACCACGCCAATTTTCTAAGAAACGGAGTCATAGACACATAGGTTCAAGGCAAGATCGAGTACTCCAAGAGCACTCATCCATAAACCAGTTACTAGTACAAACAACATAAAGAAATGTAACCAACATTTATTGGAAAAAGCAACCCCAAAGATTTGGGACCAAAAGCGATTAGCAGTGACCATTGAATAAGTTTCTTCAGCTTGAATTGGGTTAAAACCACATAATGTATTTTCCTCATCACCATCTTCAAATAAAGTATTTTCTATGGTGGCACCATGAATAGCGCATAGCAAAGTAGCGCCCAATACACCTAAAAATCCCATCATATGATATGGGTTCAATTTCCGGTTATGAAATCCTTGAAAAAAGAGGATAAATCGAAATATAGTTGCTACACCAAAACTAGGCGCAAAGAACCAACCAGACTAACCTAGTGGATAAATCAGGAATACAGAAACAAAAACGACAATTGGATCAGAGAATACGATTGCATTATAAAGTCGCAACTGAACAGATCGCGCTAGTTCGAATTGAAGCAACATGAAACCTACTAGTCCGAAAGCGTCGGGGAGAGCAAAAAAAGTCCACAGACCGCCTAATTAACACCAACGAGTAAAATCTCCTTGTGCTTCGGGACCCCATAGTACTAACAAAGAATGTGCTAAACTATTCGCAAGAGTAGAAACTGCAGTAGTTAAGAAATTGCAGCCTTCCCAATAGTAAATGGCCAATCCATGGCTATACCATGAAGTTACAAAGGTTGTACCCATGAACCAACCCCCTATAGTGAAAGAGGCACAAGGAAAGAGCAATAGGCCGGACCAGCCTACAAAAATGAAACGGTCCCTCCGTAACCAGTCATCCATAATATAACACAAATCATTTTCGTCTTTGGTAACTTTACCTAGGGCTATAGTCTACGTAATCCTCCTATTCAACTACTTCGAACATTTCCGAACACCTCATAGCATTTTCGGGGCGTCCAAAGAGTCGATCATTTCTGCATGATTTTTTTCTCGTGCACTACCCCTTCCAATGGGGTTCGAAGATAAAAATCATTTATTGGCCCATAAATTGACCACCCATGTGAATCGATGAATTCAATTTGATTATCCCTTCTTATTATTAAGCATCTGAATCATCAATTGTCTTCTTATGACTCATCAATCAGATAGATTCATTTTTTGATAGATCTGTTCAAGGAAAAAAGCAACCCCCCACCCACTACCGGTTAATCCTTAGGCTTGCCCCCCCCCTCTTATTCCATAAATAAATGGATTCTTAGATCTTCTTCATGAGATGAAGAAAAAGAAATCTCTTTCTAAATTCTTCTAATTTTTATGTTATATATAGTAAATTACTAATCTTTTTCTATTTCTTTTCTCTGTTAGAAAAGAGAGAGTTTCTGATTTTTTACTTCACTTCAATACTCAATACAATAACAATATTCAATAAAATAAATAGGAAACTGGGAATGAGAGTCTTTTTCTTGCATCCATTCTTCATACGATTGTCGGAACAAAAATCTTGGATGCAACGAAATGGAAATTTTTATCAAGCCGTGATCTTATAACTATAAATCTAAATATTCAAATATTATATAGATATAAATTAATCTTGATCCTGTAATCAAAGAAAGATAGTGAAATTTTTTTTTATCTTTTGACTTAGAATAAAGGGTTCTCCATGGAGGAACCAAATGACAATTTATTCCTATATAACATCTAGGAACAAGACGATTGAATTGGAAATATCG